TAGACATGAGCAGTATCAAGGACATAACGGAGTATACTGTTTCGCCCATGATAACTCCCATGCGTTGCCATTACTGAGAACTCAAGTGTTATTCCTCTGTACCCTGTAAATTCACTGCCATATCTTACCGTTCAAACCGAAACACAGCCATACAAACACAAATGCTTCACGGTAGAAACACGAATGGGATATACATAGGTATCCAAACAAACAACTTTTGTACAAAGTCTTCAGCTGGTATTATTATTCATTTATTTTAATTTGGGACACATTGAATCTAATTTGTGTGCGAATCTAGGTTTATTTACTATTGCTATGCAGAAATATACTTAAACATAAAATATTCAACTACAAAGTTTATAAACATGTCTAATTATTAAATTTCGCTAATTATAGTGACCTTGTTGTTAAATGTTTATACAATAAAAAAATGTCTAAATTAAATATATTTACATTCATTTGCAATAAATTGAATTTCACTAGATCTAGTTTATGATAGTCGTGTGAAAATCGGCCTAGATTTAGCAGTAAACGTAAATAGTAACGACATAATCGGCCACAACTACTGCAATAACCTGAGCGCATATTGGCCGATAAAAGATTGGATCATACTTTCTTCAAATTATATTTTTATACCATTGGGAAACTGTTTAACAGTTGTCTGCGTGGATGCTACTGTTTCACTCGTATTTGTATCGTGAAACAGTTGTGTTTGCATGCATGCGTTTCAGTTTGAAGAGTGGAATAGTATAATAATAATAATAATAACCTCATGACACAAAATTCAAGATAATGATAGAAAGAGTTCAGAGGAAATTTGCACGTGTTTTATATAGTAAACTTTACGGCTACTATCCTTATTTGTACCCATCGCTGTTCGTATCCAGTATAGTGGGTCAGAAACGCTCGAGGTAAGGCGAAAGTGTAATTTGATGATACACTATTATCGGTTGCTCCCGTTGGAGAATAGACAATCCTGCAACTCTCAGCCGTTGTTCTTTGTACGAACCCCAACCCTGCATGCGATTGCATGTGTGTCCATTACTATTGACACCGCCGGTTCGCACCTGTACTGCTCAGTTTGCTCCCACTTATCAGACTATTTCTCTGCTCAATTCTCTGATTGCTCAGCAGCCAGATATTGATATATTTAATGACAAAATAAATATATTTTTAAAATGTTGTTAGAATTTTTAATTTTGTAAAATAAACCTATAGCTCACTACACGTTTTGGGATACTGTAAGTGTGGTCAGCAATTTATAAATAAATAGCCTTCAGGATTGCCATCACAGTGTATATTGTGTTTTCTATGGTTTTCCTAGTGTTTATAAGCTATGGTCACTACTTCTCGTCAGTAGGGCCGTCAGCTTGTTTACCTATGCTAATTTCACTACGCTTGGTAATAAAACTCAAAATAGAGAGGTTCATATTTAATTATAAACCCCGGACCTAAGTCAGTATAAGTGGAACAGAAGTAGGTCTGTAAGCTGTCTTCATTTATTCATAAGTACACATGAAAATTACGTTAATATACCAAACTCAATCCGACTAAATTGACTTACCTGGTTGAACATAGTAATTTCTAATCATGTTCCTATCCTTAATTTTCAATACGTGACGTCCGCCATGCTTTCGTATAATGAGGTAGAATGTTCTAGTAGTTTGTTTAATCTAGATCCATCTATACATCTTCCCGCTAAATCCCTTACGAGTTTTTTTTTATACTACTGAGGGGGCATACGGCCCACCTGATTGTAAACGGTCACTGTTGTCTATGGACGCCTACAGCACTAGGGATGTTACGTTCATGATACCGACCCTGAACAAACATTAATATACCCCCTTTTTTTATACTTTTTTTTTTTTTTTTTTTTTTTTTTATGCAACTTAGAATGACAAACAAGCTGACGGCCCACCTGATGGAAAGTGGTAACCGTCGCCTATAGACATGAGCAGTACCATGGACATAGCAGACTATACTGTTTCACCCATGATACCCCCCATGCGTTGCCATTCCTGAGGACTCAGGTGTTATTCCTCTGTACCCTGTAAATTCACGCCATATCCCACCCTTCAAACCGAAACACAGTCATGCAAACACAACTGCTTCACGGTTGAAACACGAATGTGACAGAGGTACCCAAGCAATCGACTTTTGTACAAAGTCTCCCTCTGGTAAATATATGGTGGTATACAACTTAGAATGGCAAACAAGCTGACGGCCCACCTGATGGAAAATGGTAACCGTCGCCTATAGACATGAGCAGTACCATGGACATAACAGAGTATATGTACTGTTTCGCCCATGATACCCCCCATGCGTTGCCATTCCTGAGGACTCAGGTGTTATTCCTCTGTACCCTGTAAATTCACGCCAATTGAAGGGTGGGACTCTGCAAACCGAAACACAGCCATACAAACACAACTGCTTCACGGTAGAAACACGAATGGGACAGAGGTGCCCAAGCAATCGACTTTTGTACAAAGTCTCCCTCTGGTTTGTTTGAAGAACCCCATACTGTAGTCTCTAGGGAAAATCTCGGCAGGGAGCTCATTCTATAACCTGAGCGTTCGTGGGAGAAAACCACGAACCATTAAACTAGCGTTAGATTTATCTTTCTTCATTGTCTCTTGAGTATTTAATTTTACTTTATTGTAAACCATTGTTGTATAATAATAGCAAACAAAATATTATTGCTATACTATGAATAGGCAACTCGAGTGCATTGTATTGTATTGCATTTTCGCTCAAATTTCATTTAAACTTTCGTTAATAAACTTGTAGAAGTCAGCAGCAGGATCTTGACCTTGTCTTGAAAACATATGTGTAAACATAGCTTATGATACCTATGACAGTATAATTAATTTAATATGCAATTGTAGCATAACCAGATATTTTGATTTTGATAAGATAAAGTCGGATATAAATTCGAGATAGCATATATATATATATATATATATACACAAACTAAGTATTCGGTTGAATTAAATTTTTATTTTATATTATAGTTTTATGCGCGGCTACGACAAATCAAACAAATGGAGAAAAAAAAAAGAAGGAAGAGGAAAAGCTAGTGTTGCCCACACTGTCAAATACAATATTTATTATTATATCAATATCAAAGGCTTACACTATACACGGTCAAACAGAAAATAGGTTATACGTACAACTTGATTATAAAGAAGAAAGGAAACGTACGACCAAGATAATTAGCTACTATTAGTAGTACTGACCTATATAATATAAATGTTTATGATGTTGTAAGTTTACGGAAAATTGTTCATAACTAGAGCTTTCCTTGGTAATTATGTTGGCCACGCGCGTTCCGCCGGCGAGAGCACAACTTAATAGTTTAATCGTATAATAAATAAGTGGATAAGTAGCATAGTATAATAAAAATAATTTGCTATACTCACTGCACTATTTATGGTGATGCTTTTCATCCAAAATGTCGATTTAAATCGACATAAAATTATTACATACGGAACTAACACGTACATAAACGCCATCGATTGTAAAATTATCAAATTTGTTGTGAGGCTGGCGAAGATAATATAGACTAACAAGCTCATTAAAATACGATTGAATTGAAAGCCATTTTTATTAATATGTTTAAAAAATGAAAGTGAATTTTAAAGTGTTATTAGAGTAGTGACGGTAAACTACGAGTTGTAGCAATAATACTAGATCTTGTAGATATTTTTCACTATCGTACCGCTCGCCATCGGCGAGGAATCCAATCTCACACCATGGGGGGAAAGGAATTGTTGGCAATGGAGTTTGACAGCCCGATTGCCAGCAATATGCCCTAATAGGTCGACCTCCACGTGGTTCCCCCTGGAAACCATCGTGAACAATTCTTGTTGAATTCGTCACGATGGGCTAACTGACCTGTTTCATCCTCACCTATCATCCTTCACTGGTGCCCCGCCGGTATATACCGATAGCGCGGGTGGGGTTACCATTCCATTATCATTTATTTAAAAAAATATATAATAAATATAAGTACCTATAACGTAAAATATACCTATAACGTAAATAAACCATTATCACCCATAAAAAAAACCTCACACCATAGAATCAGAATGGTCACGCACAGTGCGGTTTTTTTATGCGTGAAAATGGCATGGTTACCCCGCCTGCGCAATCGGTATACACTGGCGGGGTACCAGTGAGCGGTGACGATGAAAAGGCAGGTCAGTTAGCCCATTGTGACGAATTCAATGATAAATTGGTCACGATTGTTGCCAGGGAGAACCGCGTGGAGGTCGACCTGATAGGGTATATTAATAGCAATGGGGATTAAACTCCCCATTACTAACTATCCCTTCCTCCTCGCACAGTGCGGTTTCATAGGAGCTTCCTCCCACGAACACTTAGGTTCTGGAATAATCTTCCTGCCGAGTCTTTCCCTAAAGACTCGGCAAGAGGTCAAAAAGGGCGTATTAAATTTTCTTAAAAAAATTATAATTCCTGGTGGTACAGGCGTCCATAGGTTACGATAACCCCGTTTACCAATAGACGGTCCGTATGCTTGCTTGCCACCCTGTAGTAACAACTGTTTATATAAAAAAATCTTATATAAAGTATATTTATATATAAGTATATTTATTTAACTCTTTATTACACCAGAAACAAAAATATACAATAACAATTGAATAATTCCAGTGAAATACAATAACATAAATACAGATTAAAATTATATATAAAGGTAAAAAAGGCGAACTTATCGGATATAAAAAATTCCAAGTCTTTATAAATAAATAAAATAAAGCGAAAATGTAGTCTAAGATGGAGTTCGCGAGTCCACGAATAACCTTTTCACATTTACTTTAAATTGATGCGGATTACATTTGGATAGAAAAACGTAATCAGGGAGAGAGTTCCACTCCTTGGCAGTACGCATGATGAAAGAAGACTTAAAGCGCTTTATGCCTATAAATAGTATGTCTAATATACAATATATATTCTACTTAGGTATTATTAGTTGTAAAATCCCGCAATTAAATAATAGATTAATTCTCCTAATTTTATAGATCGTTATTGTAAACCACAGCAATGTTAAATAGCGGTACCTATAAGATTCGTTTCTATCGTAATAATCATTATGTGTTAGGTATGTCTTTAATTACCAACCATAGCCTATATATAAACAAATATCTCATATAACCACTACTGTGGTTATAGCAACATTTCAAGATGCACGTTAAAGTTCTGGTAAGAAAATCAATTAATAAATCAGATATTTTTTATTTCTGTTAATTTTTAATTATAAACTTGGCGATTATCAATTGTAAATTGTTGTATAAATGTTATTTAAATATTTTAAAATAATATTCGTTTCATAATTCGAAAAGATTTCGTTAGTTGGGGTGGAATTAGAGTACCTTTTACACCACGCCGGATTTAGCTCATCTACTTTGTATACTTTTTTATATACAAGAATCGTAAATAAATGTGATTTTATCATCTACAGATTCTTTTTACTTGCGTACTGATCACGATCATGTGTCACGCAACACCGCCGACTGAAAACAATCAAAACTATATCTCTGGCCTTTTGCTTCCCGCCAATGCAGTAAAAAATGTAAATGAACAAAGACCACTCGAAACAATGCAAATAGAAAACAATGATGTACCCGCTCCCCAGGATGTTCTTAAGAGCAATGAGCAACCTCAGACTTTACTTACAAATTCAAATTCAAATCATCTTCCTATGAATTACAATCAATATCAACAACCTGTATACAACAATCTTCAACAAGATCTAGGAAATCAACAAGCAAGATTGTCCCAACAATTGCCACTTACTAATCAACAAATATTTATACCAAATCAACAAATGCCTGCCAATTATCAGCAAGCAATTTTGAAGAACCAACCGTTATTAGTTAACCAACAACAACCATCTAACAAACAAGCAAATGTACCAAGTCAAATACAAATGTTAGTTCCTCAAAATCAGCAGAATCAACAACAGATGTTAATAAGTCAGATACCTCAATCAAATCAAGCAATGTTAATTCAACGACCTATCAGCCAGGACGCACAGCAGACTTTTGCCATATTAATTCCTCAGCCGGTTAACCAACAAGTTCAACCTAATCAAGCTATATTAGTTCAAAATCCTAATAATGTGCAACCACAACAAAATCAAGCTATTATAGTTCAACGCCCAGAAAACCAGCAAGCATTATTAGTTCCACAGCAACAAAATCAACATCTATCTAATCAAAATGTACAATTAGGGCAAACCATACCAAATACCAGATTTACCAGAGGGAGACTTTGTACAAAAGTCGATTGCTTGGGTACCTCTGTCCCATTCGTGTTTCAACCGTGAAGCAGTTGTGTTGGCATGACTGTGTTTCGGTTTGAAGGGTGGGATATGGCGTGAATTTACTGGGTACAGAGGAGTAACACCTGAGTCCTCAGGAGTGGCAACGCATGGGGGGTATCATGGGCGAAACAGTATACTCTGTTATGTCCATAGTACTGCTCATGTCTATAGGCAACGGTTACCACTTTCCATCAGGTGGGCCATCAGCTTGTTTGCCATTCTAAGTGGCATAAAAAAAAAAAAAAAAAAAAAAAAAAAAAAAAAAAAAAAAAATAATCAAATATTTACTGTAGTGCCATTAAATGGGCAGAACGTAGGAAGTAATAATTTAGGAAATAGCAATACATACTTAATACCTATTCAGCAAATACCTAGTAATAAATAATATTAGTAGTAAGTACTGTAGTATTAAATAATATTAAATGATTTATTAATAACTTATTAAGTTAAATTATATAAATGTATTGAGATATTTTCTAACTACCTACAGTACCTACATACAAAATTTGTTATGTACCAGTTCCTCAAGAAATCTTGAATTCTCGTTGAATTAAAAACATAGAGTTCACTAAAATTTTTATTTGTTTATGATTTCGTTATTTTATAGTTTAGTATCCAAAATTATGATTATTTAATTTTAAAAAAGGTCAAAGTTTGTTAAATTATTTCTATAATACTGACTGCGCGCCATCTTACACAATTTATGGGCGCGCCATTTTTCAGTGTTGCAAGTACAGCGTCTCGCGACCACCCCTAGCTTTTAGACAATTTTTATGTCAATCACGGACAACTGGTAATTATTTGCTTGTTTTTGCACAATATTATATAAAATTACTAAAAAAATAACCATTGAACAACGATATATTATTTTTTTACTTCTTTGTTCTGTCAATAATTTGTCTACACAAATGATGTACGCACATCACTAAAAAAAATTTAATTTAAAAAGTTAATAAAACAACATGGTGGACTCGGTGTGTGTTGTCATTTTCAGGTCACGTAAATAATTGAGTGTTTATTTGTGAAAATATTATATTATAATCCAAAATGTCATCGACGGAGCCTTCCCAGAACAAAACCTGGGAACTCTCCCTTTACGAGCTACATCGTATGCCTCAGGAAGTGATAGTAGACGCCACTGAAATCGCTGTGTCCCCCCGCAGTTTACACAGTGAATTAATGTGTCCTATTTGTTTGGATATGTTGAAGAAGACGATGACTACTAAGGAATGCCTTCATAGATTCTGTTCTGACTGCATCGTGACTGCTTTACGTTCGGGAAACAAGGAATGTCCAACATGCCGTAAAAAATTAGTTTCGAAGCGTTCTTTGCGGCCAGACCCGAACTTTGATTTGCTTATATCGAAAATTTATCCAAGTAGAGACGAGTATGAAGCTCATCAAGAACGAGTATTGGCGAAACTGAGTATGTCACATTCTCAGGCGTCTTTAGTTAATTCTATCACAGAAGGTATAAAACTGCAGTCACAAAATAGACCGCAACGGTCTCGAAAAACCCATGATGACAATAGTAATGCTTCTAACTCAAATGGACACACAGATAGTGCCGCTCAAAATGGCGGAAGCACATCAGCTCCTAAAGATACCACTCCCACAACTGGCAATCCAACTGCCTCTGGGCAATCAACATCTAATCCAGCATCAGTGAGGAGTACTCCATCCCCTGTCTTGTCTAATGTGAGCTCTATATCTAAAAACACAAGTACCACAAAGAGGGCAAAATCAATATTGACTTCTGAACGCAGTGAAGAAAGTGAATCTAGTGATGGCAGGTAAGTCATAAAATTGGACTATTCTATTATTGTGTCATTTGTTTTTAAATAGTTCTTAATGGTAGCAATTTGTGAGGATTTTTTTTAATGGCACGATAATCCCATCTGCACTATCAATATACATTGATATAGCGCGTGTGAGATGATTGCCGAGAATGAAGTAGATTCATTGGTCTATTGTGATGAATTCAAGAATAAATCAATCACAATATTTTCCATGAAGTACTGCACGGAGGTCAACCTGATAGGGTATATTACTAGCAATGGTGTTGTTAATCTCTATTACTAATAATCCCTTCTCCCCTAATATGCAAGGGTTGTCATAATCTTCTGTCTGTGTATTAATATTAGCAAAGATGATGGTTATAATTTTCCAAGATTATCAGTATGTCATTTCCTATACACAGTAGCATAAAAATATTAAAAAAAAAATAGTTAATTATAAATGTGATATTGTTAAATGAGTTTGAAATTATAATAACTACAAACTAATTGATTTTTTGTATGTAACTAACTAAACCAAACATCATTTTAGGAAACTCGGAAAGTAAAAACATTTTGGGAATTGATAATTTCTACCCAAAAACTTAACAACTACAATATTTAACTGTTTTAAAAACCATTCAAATTTATCTAAACACATCATATTATAAATTTTTCTACTTGAATTATTATATGTATTTCCAGAACTGAAGGTGAGAATTCTATGGACACGGAAGGTGAAGGCGAACCTCTAAATCCTAATGAAATAGAATTGGTCTTTAAGCCCCACCCCACAGAGATGACTGGTGATAACCAACTCATGAGGGCTCTCAGGGACAGCTCTGTGAGATACTTGAAGACAACTGCTAATGCATCAGGTGATGTGAAACATATAATCTTAAAATTGATAGTAACATTTGGATGTTAGTTGTAGTGATTCATTCCGCAACTAAGGGAGCTCGACAGTTTCCCAATTTGCTTCCTTAGCAATGACAATATATATAAACATAATAAATAACATATAATTATTGGACACTCTAAATAATTTATTATCATTTTATGACACTCAGCAAGTTTACAAGTAAATATATCCAAGTCGGGATACTAGCTCAGGACACTTTTTTTTAAATGGATGATAATGGAATGGTAACCCCTCCTGCGGTATACGGTATACGCTGGCGGGGCACCAGTGAGGGATGACAGGTGATCATGGAAAGGCAGGCCAGTTAGCCTATTGTGATGGATTCACTTGGAATAGAATATGATAGTTTCCAGGGGGAACCGCGAGGAGGTCGACCTGCTAGGGTGTATTGCTAACAATGGGGGTACCAATTCCCATTTTTAACAATCCGTTATCCCCTCAAAGCTCATGACACTGTTGAGAGTGCTAATAAAATAGGAGCCTGTTTTGATAGCTCTATTCTTGTCAATGGAACATGGAAAAAGAAAACTTATAAATACTAAATATGCTCTAATTCTAATTAAGCATAATTAGAATTAAAGCATATTTAGTATTTATAAGAAAGGATATCTCTTTAGTAAATAAATGTCACAATATATATGTAAATATTGCCCAGAATAGTTGATAATGCAGCCCGTCCAAATTAGAAGAAAATTGCCTTTTGTCCTTTTTTGATTAAAAGAAGATTTTGCCTCTGTAAATTATTTTGCTACAATTATTAATTGTTATATAAATAATTATTGAATGGATTTTAAAAGGATGTATATCTATTCATTACCTCACCGATTAGATAGATACATAGATACTCTTTATTGTTTCCTCCAAAAGATTACAATAGTAAACTTATTATAAATATAAACAATTACAAGAAATAATCACAATGAGAAAACAATTAGAGTAATCACAATAGGTTAGACCGCAGCCAGTACTTCTATGCTGCTCTCTCATCATTCTCAAATATCTACTAGTATTTACCTATGACTTTGTTCACATGAATAAAAGATAATTAATTAATCAGGATAAAATATTTTCATCTCTACCTCAAATACTATTTCTATACTAAACTTCATGGCAGTTAGTTGCAAACTTCACTTACACATTTATAAAATTGATAAGGATTGGAGTTTTTAATGAAGTAATTAACAAAATTTTAAATAACTCATTTTTCAGTTGACCATCTAAGCAAATACTTGGCGATGCGTCTCACACTAGATCTCGATGCAGAACTGCCTGAAGCCTACCGTCTCCTTAACTTCTGCATCTACGTTGCGCCATCACCTGGCCAATTTGTACCTCTCGCTGGTTCGCAGACTCTCAGGCAGATTAATGATAAATTCTGGAAGGTAACATATCATTCATTTCTTATCTGATATAATAAAATCGTAACTAAACGATGTCTATACATGAGAATTATTTAATAAAATATGATATGACAGATCTTACATTAATAGAAGTCAAATAAATTTTTTTTACAAATGTTGTGTCTGTCTGTATGTTTGTTCCGACATCATACAAAAATTACTACACTAAAATGGCAGCGATTTTTACAGTTGTGGTGCTAATGATCTAGCTAAAAATCTGGTGCATGTTCCATCTTGATGAGCCATCTAGAAGTGGCTTGATTTCTCTTCTTTTGAAATCCACATGTACGAAGTAGTGGGCAAAATTGTTACATATTTGGTTTATTTTTTTTTTAAACAAACTGATTTCCACAGCTCAAGTTAGTATGGGACAATATGTTTAAAAAAGTGAATCCTCAGAATCGGCTCAGAATTGAAGAAGATATTGTATTGTTGGAATAACAGCACATGAACGATATCATGGGCTGTATTTTTTTTTATACCATTGAGATGGCAAACAAGCATACGGTCCACCCAATGGTAAGTGGTTACCATAGGCTATGAACGCCTGCAATACCAGGGATATTACACACGCGTTGCGGACCCCTGTATACTCTGTTACATACAATACATGGTATCGTCCATGTCTATAGGTAACGGTTGGAACTTTCCATTATTTGAGCCGACAGCTTATTTGCCATTTTAAGTTGCATAAAAAAACCATAACATTAAACAAACCAGGATATATCTTCATAATCAGATTTATAGTTTAATGATTCATTGTTTAATTTTTAACGATCACTTAATTACCGTTTTATTTCATCATTTTACAGGTCAACAAGCCATTAGAGATGTACTATTCATGGAAAAAAACCTAGAAATAAATATCATTTTAGTTATGTTGCTGCATAACTAAAATGAGAGTGCAGTGATAAGAAATATATTTAAAATTTTATATCTGGGTGTATCAAAATTTTAACGAATCGAGAAATTGGACTCGAATATTAATTATACAATATTATATTCGATGTAATAAGTAATTGACGAGGTGGCTAGTGATATTTGAATTATATAGAAAAAAAAAGTGGCTCATAGTCTCATAATGTTATACAGAAGTGGCAAATCGTACTGTTATTTATAAATGTGATTAAAATACAAAAGGATCTATTTCATTAATAATTCGTACATGACCTAAGCTGTAAACGGTTTTTTAATATAATGTATTGAATAATAATTATCTGTATATAATAAATATGTACAATAATGTGCAATTATTTTAATAAATAATTAAATATCATAAACCTCTTTTGTGTTAGTGTTTGGTGCTGGTTGCATACTCGAGATTTTGTAAATAAGCAACGTCCTAACTTAGCCCTCTCAGATCGGATAAATCACAGGGTAAGCTATAGGCATACAGTCCTCGCCGTATTTTTGACACAGCACGGCGAATCGAATGTGAGGCTCTACTACTTTGGAACATAATTCCGAAGTTTCAGATGGTTTTCCATTGAAATTTTGTCCCCACGTAACACGTTCATACATAGTCAGACCCGTCAATGGAACATCGAAAAGTTTCGTTCGTAGTTATTACTGCAGTTTACTGTTCGAAGTTCGAACAATCTAAATAGTATTGTTTAGATCATAGACGTAGTATAATATTTTATACGAATATACATTTTAGACAGCATCTTTAGTAATTATAACATCAAATCCGTGTTTAGTTGTAAAATTTCGACTCGTGTCTTAATTCTGATATGACAAGTTGACCAGGAAACCTTACAGTCGCAGCCAGCTATCGGATAAAGGACTTCATTAGCTTACATGTCGTTAATTTCAGTTGCAGACAACCCTCGAAATCTGTGAAGAAATTCACATAGTCTTCGGTTCTGATCAATATTTAAAACCAAATTTTAGAGCACCCCTCCCTCTAGGGGCAAGATGTAAAAGGATGCGAGACCCTATTACTTACAATTGGAATGAATATGTCAGTTAGCAGGCAATATCTCATAGACTACCATGGACCTCATAGTATATCCTATGATGTCCATGGTTCTGTTCACATCTATAGGCGACAGTTACCACTTTCCATTAGGTAAGCCGTCAGCTTGTTCGTCATTCTAAGTATCATGCAAAACAATAAAACTATCTTTTACCAATATCATCTACATACAAATTGTATTAAAAAAGGTAAAGGTGAAATAATGATCAAATAAATACCAATAAAATAATTTACTCCAAAATATACATTAGTAATCACATCTACATTTTATAACAGGTGTTTATTACAAATAAAATATAACAGTGATTTTCTAGCACAGAAGAAATGACTTTCAACTGTGAATCCGTGACAAAAAATACATGGGATCAATCATGAAAGCAAATCCTAAAGTTTCCAAAAATAATTGTCATAATCAATTCGGGATAGAGGAGAAAATATTGCGTAATCTTAGATTATGTGTGTAACATACTAAAATAGCGTTTCAAAGAACTTTGTGATACCATCAGATTTATCATGTGAAAAAATGTACCACATCTAACTGTAGTACCAATTGCCAGTGACCACAGACATTATCTGGAATTAGCAAAACCACAGTTTGTGGTTTAATACATAGCTATCTAATTGGTAATAATGTGCTCTAATTATTGCGCAGTTGACTTTTTTTTTTAGGTATGTACGTGACAAGAGTCTACCAATCAGCGCAACTTATCGGCTATTCTATCCATGTCGATTTTGTAGGTTCTATGAATACTTATCAGGTATCAATTAATAATCCATTTGATTAGGCAACAAAAAAATACCAAAATAGGTATTCATATATATAACAATACGGTAAGTAGAACTCTACCTGTAACCTATTTTAATAGAACATAATGAAAATACAAACAAACGATTAATTGAGCCGACCGTGAGACAGCAACAAAATAACAGACTCATGACTAATATGGTAGGTTGTGGAACTTCTGGTAGTAATAGTTGTGGTCGATCTTCGAGTGTTTGGTAGTCACACATACTAATGATAGCGGATTTAAACAAAATAATTTTAATCAAATAACAATGCCTCCAAAATAACATCTAGTTTTGTAAAATATTTGCAGTAACAAATATTTATTACCTATCTTTTCATTAATTCTATTAAAATAGTCTGTAAACATTCGTATAACAATAGTATGTACATATATGTAATTTACATTAACAGAATTATATACTACACAACATAAAATAATGTACTAATATCACTATTTTCATTGGAATTAGTTCGTAAGTGCTGGTTAATTAATTAGGATGCGTAAATAGATGACGGCGATTTACCTAAGTAGTTCTAGTAAAACGACCTTATAAACGTCGAAGTGAATGCTCATAATTCATGCCGGCTCAACTGTAAGTGTTATTCTGTAAAACTCAATTTCACTAGTGAATCTGCGAGTGATTTGCATTTGGTATCCTGTAAACAACTAACAAGAAATAAGCGGCATTTCGTTAATGTGACGGCGTAATGAACTGGAGTAAGTGTGGTGCTATCCTTAGGAATTCACTATAGCTTTTAAAACTCATATCACTTCAAACTTGGCATTGCCAGAGCTTAGAGAATATGAGAATTAGATGAAAAGAAGATTGATAGTCAGTTATGTAATGAAGTATACAATTTCAGGTGTTGTTGTTATTTACTAAGACATTTATTTTCAATCAATTATTTCAAAACTCTCTTCGCATCAACCTTACTTATTATATTTTATAAAATGTGAATTCAAGGCTGAGTGACTTCGCTATCGAAGTAAGTTCTAAGTGAGTTACGTTTCGACTTTGCATTTTAGAGAATAGTACTACACTGCGAATGAACATGGTCATCGGTCGTTCATTATAAAGGACGGAATTTTTTTACATTATTCAAAGGTACCAGATTGGCCCCTGCTAAATACAGATAGTTTCACGACAAACGCCCTTAAGCTTGTGCTTGCTACAAATATGTAGATATCACTGTGTCATGTAATGATTATAAGGTTCGTTTTGGCTTGAGACTCCGACGATGCGTGGTACCGTGAAGGAACATTAATAAGGTTGCAACTATAGGATCCAGTTACTTCCCACTTATTCATGTAGCAAGTAGCTAGATAGGATGTCAACCGTGGTAGCGAAAGCGCGTTCGTAGCGGTGCGTCAAATCTCAAATCCACTGTGATTCCGGTAATTTCAAAGGTGTATTGCGAATTTGTAAATCATGATAGATCCCGAATTTCCAAAGATTGGCACACTCCATGGGAACAGCCTCATTTCTGTTTGTAACAAACTATAGGTCAATTTACAGTAGGTACTAATCTGAAATATCACGCACCGTCGCAAAATAAACAGGATTTATAGAACATTTCTTGCACGATATATCCATACATGTTTGTAATTCATCACCTAGGTATATGGTTTAAACAGACAGATATTTACCTACTTCTTATTAAAATCATAGCCTTTGTATTTATACAAGCAAATGTGTAAATAAGGGTACGGTATTAAAAAATCCAGTAACATCATACTCGTAATAACATATAGGTATATTTATGTGGTAGAATAACTTAGAAAATTAACGAAACTAAAAATAAATAAACAAAATTATAACTCTTGATCACATAGAAAACAAATATTAAAACCACTACCTACCTACATACAAAATTTACCATAATTCTATGTACTGTATAAAATAGAGAAAATTGTGATGTTGCTTCTCTTCAGGCTAATGCAGTCAAGCGCCTAATATTAAAATTTTTGAACATTGGTATAACAGGCGCGAAATTTCAAATATGCTCCATAACGCTGTTAGGACAAGGCACCATATTTATAGGAATTTAGGTAAGTTTACATTCATTTTAATGGAATGAAATGTTTTCTAAATGCATTGTACTCTCTTTTAAGTGCTTTTGTAGCTTCTACTTTTAATATTTTCAGTACTTCAACTATTTGTTCCTTGTTTTCTGAATCACGTGCAATAGTCAATCTTTCCATTGTGGCAAAATCTAATTCTTCTATTCTGTCTGCTTCGTCAATCAAACGATCTACGTCACTCAGAAATCTAGGGAAACGAGTGCTCTCTGCGTTGTCTTTAAAATTGAGTAATTTATCAATGTGTTCCAAGAAATCCAATGTTCTTCGACCACTTCTCATTTTCGAAGAGTACATAAAATTTCTAAATAGTTTCCTCCCTTTTTCATCACTGAGAACATTTTCTATAGTGTCCGTAAAGCGATCAAGGTCCGCTTTGGATATTCCTTCATATCCATCGCAGTCACAGGCCGCCAAACAATTAGCCATCTTCTTATCACTCGCATGACACTAATAGTCTTATCGATTTATTAAAAAATAATACTGCTGTAAATTTACAATCGTAAAAAACAATGGCACATCACACATATTTATCCATATGAATGTCACGTAAAACTCTTTGATTCACTAACTAAAAGGTAAAATTATTGTGGTTAAACTAAACTAAAAATAGGTTTATATTATGAAGACAGCACGAGCGGCGAGCGTAAATAAACTGCGCCATGTGTGAATCACGATTTTCGAGATGACTTCCTTCGCGCATGCTCACTTTTCTTCAAATTATTCCAGTCCCCCGATAAGCGGTAAATTTAAATATGATAATTACAATCGGCGACACTTTAGATTGTATTACAATTAACATTTTACACCATTTATTTTAAAGACAAAATTGTGTTGTGACTAACTTGTCGATACAATACGAAAGACGGAATGAATTACATCACGTAAGGTAAAAAACGTGTCGTGACCTCGGTCTCGAACGGTAAGCGCGATTCATTCATGGGAAATAAAATAGAGGTGGAGCGAGCGAATACAATGGGTTAAGAAATCCGCACCATAAAGATATGAAAGTGCCTAGCCACAGTTTTTTAATTTTAATAAATATATTTTTAGATAATATGACGTACCTTTGTAATTAATATTATGTAAACTGTTATATCAACATCATCATTATATCAGCCGTTACCTGTCCACTGTTGACCATTGCCTTTCCCATAAGGGGGATTTTGCCAGTCGTTGCTACATTTGACAAGCTGATTGGCAACTGCAGCTATGCTTTGGTGACGTTTTAAGAGGGGCACTGATGCCCAATTAGTCTGTTATAAAGATATGTAAAATAAAACATTTAACACAACTATTTAGTATGCTTTGAATATTATTTATAGAAAAATAATAATTTTCGAGTTACAATCCTCTTATATATGCTGCTGGCAGAAATTACCAGAGGGAGACTTTATACAAAAGTCGTTTGCTTGGGTACCTCTGTCCCATTCGTGTTTCTACCGTGAAGCAGTTTGTGTTTGTATGGCTATGTTTCGGTTTGAAGGGTGGAATAGGGCAGTGAATTTACAGGGTACAGAGGAATAACACATGAGTCCTCAGGAATGGCAACGCATGAGGGTACCATGGACGAAATAGTATATACCTTATGTCCATAATACTGCCACTGGTATAGTATTATACTAGTGCTATTTTTTTTAATGGGTGAATATGGAATGCCTGCGCTAACGGGATACGCTGGCGGAGCACCAGTTAAGGATGATTGATGAGAATGAAAACAGGCCAGTTAGCCCATCATGATGAATTCATCAGGAATTAACCATGATAGTTTCCGGGGGGAACCGCAAGGAGGTCGACCTGGTTGGGTATATTGCTAGCAATGGGATTCTCAGTCTCCATCACTAACAATCCCTTCCCCCCCCTATACTAGTGCTACTACTAGTATAGTATTATATTATCTGTGGTACTGCTCATGTTTATAGGGGACGGCTATCATTTTCCATCAGGTCGACCTCGGCGCAGTTCCCCTTGGAAACCATCGTGGTTAATTATTATTAAATTTGTCGCAAGTTCTCAACTTTATACTCACCTATCATCTTTTACCGGTGCCCCGCCAGCGTACGTATACAGATAGTGCAGGCGGGGTTACCATTTCATTAACGCCCATTAAAAAATCTATTGGAGATCATTAATATTATTTATTTAAAAAAAATTATGTACTTTTAATCAGCACTTGTACTTTTGTACCTTGTACTTTGTACCTCTCACAGCAATTCCATTCCCTTTAATTCATCTAAAAATTTAATATAATATGCAATTTGTCACTAATAATAAATTATGCTATCGATACTAATTGAAAATAGTGGTGGTTATTTTATTGAATTATATATTTTAATAAAATAAATAGTTTGCTCTTTATATCAGACTTATTTAAACTATTCCGTATCACATATATTGAAGATCGAACATATACTGGCCAAGAACGCAAACAGGATAATTATTCTATTAAGGGGAGAAGGGAGTATTAGTAACGGGAACTAGCAGCCCCAATTCTAGCAATATACCCTAAGGAGTCGAACTTTACTTGGTTTCTCCAATAAACCGTTGTGATTTATCGTGTCGAACTCGTAACTATGGGCTGGCCAACTGACTTACTTTCATACTTAATTTATACTCCGTCAACGTACATCGCACAGATTAAAAAGACAATGTTTGTATGCAAGAAAGTTATTCGGTAATTTAAAAGTCATACAAAAATTCTTTTCTTGCAACAATATATATGACTGGAGTAAAACTGACAATAAAATATATCACTTAAAATGTAGTTAAAATACCTTGTGCATGAATGATAGACAATTGAAGCAGGTTAACCAACTTACTAGAGTGACTTGACGCATAGATTATATTTGACGTTTTGGTCGGCCATTTTGCAGTTTCTACGGTCACTGCTACACGTGTTCTGTAGGTTATTTAATAAAATATGCCTTAATTTAACTAAATTCTTATTTATATTTATACTATAATTAATGCATGCACATTGCAGATTCATAAAATGGCAGTGACAAAGAAGCCGGCGCCTAAAAAGGCTCAATTGAACCAGAAGACTGGCAAGAAGGGTGTCAAAGGTGGCAAAATCCGCGGCAAGGGAAGCAAAAGGAAAATCAACCTCAGATTTGTGATTGATTGCACTCATCCCGCTGAAGACAATATTCTTGATGTCGGCAACTTCGAGAAGTACTTGAAGGAGCGCGTCAAAGTCGAGGGCAAAACAAATAACCTAGGCAATCACGTTGTCATCGCTAGGGACAAGACAAAAGTGGCAATCAACGCAGGTTAGTAACTCAATTTACAGTCACTAGAAAAACACAATAGGTACTATTCTTTCAACAGAGATATTATTTATTTTTCATGATACTATATAAGTCGTATTGCATACCTACTCATCAGACTAGCATCTCACACCAAAAATCATATTCTTCTGTTGTATATGATTTTTCTAGAGTGCAGACATTTAAAAAAATGTTTAAAACGAGTTTTTTTATTAGATTTGGCCATATTCATTAGGTCTTATAAACATAAACAGTGGTACCTGTTCTGTAAAAATCACAAATATAAAAACTTTGTGCATTGCTGTATTTTCCTAGAATTAAAAGTGCAATTAAAAAGATTCATTGAATGATTATTGACTTGAAATAGATTTCTTATAATCTTGCTTGTCTGTATATTTATCTAATACTAAGCAATATTGTTTACTTATACCATTAAACATTTATTAAGATGTGCCCAAAATCAATAAGAATTGTAACAAAAAGAAATACTATTGCTAAATAAAACCTATATTTAAAATGTAACATTTATTTTGAAATAAATTTTACTATCTACTATCTAAAAAAAATTTACTATCTACTATCTAAATGGAACATATAATCATAAATAAATGATAAAAAAATTAATTATAGTTAAGTATATATATTTGCCGTACAATCCTGGTACAAAATGGGTCATCCCTTCCGTTCCCATAGGTGTTGTAAGAGGTCTCTTGCAACTTAGTGCTCAAGTGATGGGCAGCAGTGTCCCTCTTAAAACATCACCAAGGTCTAACTGTGGTTGCTAACATACTAGCTAAGCATGGTGACTGTTGGCAAAACACTCCTTATGAGGGAGCCCTATGTTTAGCAGTGGACACTTACCAGCTGATGTGTTTGTGGATTTATTATTAGAGTTTACCCATAGCTTTGTTCACATGACCAGGATATGTTTATTGACCAGAATAAAAAGTAGCCTAGGTCCTCTTCCACCCTATATAGTGGGTATATCAAATCTCATATGAGCTATTAAGATACTGTAAGTTAATAAACAAACGAATTCACTTACTTTTATGTTTAAGTAGTAAATATATTTTTGTATAAGGATTGACGAAAATTTATATTCATGTCTTGAAACACTTCACACTTCACAAATCAATCATGAAGTCTTAGATCATTCCATGAAAGACTTAACAGTCTTACCTGTTTATTATTTTGATTATAAATATGGAAGATTTTGTCTGTGAAATATCTGTTTTTAACTTTTTTCGCTCTGGCAAAACATCTGTTAATTTGTCTCTGGATTTTGTAGTTTTAAAATAAGACTAGTGACAATTCCTTATTTTGTAATTGTTTCATTTCAGACATTCCGTTCTCCAAGAGGTACTTGAAATACCTGACAAAGCGTTACCTTAAGAAGAACAACCTGCGTGACTGGCTGCGTGTTGTGGCGTCAGAGCATGATGCATATGAACTGCGCTACTTCAACATCAACGCGGACAGTGATAATGAAGATAATGAAGATTAAGTTCAATAACATTAAATAGTTTTACACTAAATTGTTTTGTTTATATTCTATTCTCAGTGACACCTGTGACATTTTTGTGACATCTGTATTTAGTTTTTGTTTTTTTAATGGGTGATAACGGATAGCCAGCCCACACTATCGGTTACGCTTGCGAGACACCAGTGAGGGATGATAGGTGACAATGAAAGCAGGTCGGTTAGTCCATTGTGACGAATTCCACTACAATTAACCACGATGGTTTCCAGGGGCAACAATGTGGAGGTCGACCTGATAGGGTGTATTGCTAGCAATGAGTCAGTTAGACTCCATTACTAAAAATCCCTTTCCCTCTGTATTTAGAATAGAAAATATTGCCAGAAAAATTCAATCATAATAGAAAATATATATGAATTGTGACATATTAGGTAAAAGAAACTGGCTCAACTGATGGTGTGAGTGTCCCAGTGCAACGTGTACAGCTGCACAGCGCTGGTTTTCAGCCAGTCCCTAATTATATATTTCACATTCCCATATCAATTTCCAGGAATTCTTTTAGTGCTCGTATGTTGTAAACTATGGGGGAGGCTTATATCCAGCAGTCGATGGATAATGGCTGAAATGATGATGATGATGATGTCGTAAACAGTCTTTTGCAGAATGTCATATTTAGTTCATCAACACCAGCTACTTATCACTATCACCCATATCTGTGATACTCAGGAATCGGCCAATGCTATGTTTTAACTATGTTGATCATAAATTTAATTTTATTTTTAATATATTAAGTGGATTTGGTTTTACATGAGTATATAGAATTTTTAAAAATAATATATAGCCTATGTCACTTGCTAATAATGTAGCTTTCTATATTTGAAATTATTTTTAAAATGGCTCTAGCAGTTTTTAGGTTTAGCCAATAAAAACAAATGTTTCTTCTTTATATTTTTAGTATAGATAGTTCGCTCTATAAGAATACACGTGAAGCACATATAAGACTATACTAGTAGTAGAAATAAGCTAACAATCCACTTGATGGAAAGTGATAATCCTCGCCTTTTTATTATAGAAAGATTTGACCATATTTTATGAATACGATAAACCAAAAAGAATTGTTTACGATTTACCGTACTATGCTGATCGATTAAATGCTTTTTTTACGCTACGTCTGAGACCTGGTAGAAGACAGTAATGCTAAATCTTTACGTAATTCTAGAGTTTTGCTTACCTTATCTTCTCCCATGGACAGCTCGTCTTTCCACAACATGGAGAGCATGTAAGTTATTGAGCGAAAGTATTCCAGAGTTGAGCAGTACCTTACACACGACCTACCTTGTGGTTTATATAACAAAAGGCTTTGCTCTATCGTGAAGTACGCGCTTTGTTCAGAATTTGAGCTTGTCACGTAGTTCTAAAGGAGTGTCACAAACTGAAGGGATAAAGTGGATTTTTTGCGGAGAATACGCATGTTTGCGTCTTGCTAGCGTTAAATGTAACAAGATTACTGTCGCCCCAAGCAGAAACCTTGCGCAGTGTTTCATTAATTTCACCAAAAGCGTATTTCGTCTTAATCGGGCGTTGGAAAAGCTTCCTGTCTGTAAGTTGGAGCATCCCGCTTGGATGGTGCTTTCGTCGACATAGCAGTGGATCTGACTATAAACCAACTTATCATCATTGTGGATCAGAAACAATGTCGGCGACAGCACCGATCTCTGCGGAGCACTAGTTTTAATTCCTTTGATTTCAGAGTTAACATTAGGGCTAGCTCATATTTATGAGCTACTATCGTCTACCAAAACACGGAGCCTCCTCTCTCTATTTTAATATCTCTATATTTATAAATATTCTTTTCGTTTAATGTATAATTTTACACAATTTTTTAACTGAACCGATTTTGATAAAATTTTTTATGGGACCAAATTGTTTTCTTTTTTTATATGACAGGATATACGTAAGTATTTTTTTATGCACTTAGAATGGCAAACAAGCTGACGGCCCACCAGAAGGAAAGCGGTAACCGTCGCCTATAGACATGAGCAGTACCATGGACATAACAGAGTATACTGTTTCGCCCATGATATCCCATGCGTTGCCATTCCTGAGGGCTCAGGTGTTATTCCTCTGTACCCAGTAAATTCACGCCATATCCCACCCTTCAAACCGAAACACAGCCATGCAAACACAACTGCTTCACGGTTGAAACACGAATGGGACAGAGGTACCCAAGCAATCGACTTTTGTACAGTCTCCCTCTGGTTTATATCCTAATTCGTAAGTATTTCCAAATCGGTTTAGAGTTCTACTCTTTTTGAAGTTGATTGAAAAAGGCCATATTTGTAATTTTTGCCAAAGAGAGATATTTAAGATTTTATTGTTGAACAATTGTTTCAAGATATCTGGGTAATTTCTCCTTTTCAATTTTTGGTTGCTTTTGTTATGATAATGATTATAGCTGTTACTAAAACTTATTAATGGAGTAAATAAAAGATAGTTATTTATATAAGTAGATTTAATTCCAGGTAAATATTATTTACATAAATAATATAAAACAATTGATTCATGTTCATTCATGGGATTTACAATTCATTTGAAAGGAAAATATTGAAACTTACCACTAATTTCTATCTTTTGTACTACCCTAGCAATAGAAGATTCACTGCCGCGGCTGTATCGTCCGAGTTATAATTAAAATGTGTTGAAAACAAACATCTTTGACAAATATGGTAACATCTTGCACTGGTCTTGGTAACCTAACCTACCTAAGTAGAAAGGCATGAGATTCTCATGTCTTTTGAATACAAAAGATTGAATACAAGTATACAATTTCATTTTCTAGCACCTTACGAATATTAAGTTATGGCTCATTGTTGCTAGTTACTTAAATTACCCTAATAATATGGGGGGGTGTAACACCAGTGCAAGTTTTATATAAGCTTGCTAACGCGTCTGGGTGTTCACTTGCCAGCTGCGATTTCCTTCATCCTGTTCAGTGCAGAGCCAGCTTTGAACCACGAGATCTGTTGTTCGTTCAAGGAGTGGTTTAACTTGATGCGTTCAGTGTTGCCATCTTTGTGTTTGATTTCACAGTCGACTTGCTGTAAAGATAAATATTATTTTTAGTTTGGATGAATAAAAGAACTAGTTGAATGATGCGTAATGTTGGTAGATATACATAGCCACAAACATTATGTTAAATTTGATATCGTATTAAAGTCAGACTAGTGACAAATAAAAGAAATTATAAAATTTCGTATTAAGTAGAAAAAAATAATATTAAGTGAGGCAAGACAAATTTTATACCTTTATGTAAATTTTACGGCTTTGGTTAAATAAATCTTAATGATGATTGTATATATTTCAAACAATCGTGATATAGTGACAACATATAGCCGTGTGGCTTTCCTTTCCTTTCTCATGGCTGTCGTAAGAGGCGACTAATGGAATTTAAAAATACAAGAATGTGTAGCAGCATCGCTCTTAAAACGTCACCAAAGTCTAACTGCGGTTGTCAACTCGCCTGCCAAACTAACCGTGGTAAATACTGGTAAACTACTTCAACGAGGTATTTGAACTATTTGAACGTAACATCTGAACAGTGGACAGTAAATGGCTAATATAATGATAACAGCGGATGACTTTACATATCAGCAAACAAGCATTACCTTGCCGGGCGCGAGGCTGTTCAGTCCTAGGAGAGAAATTTTGTCCGTTGGCTGGATTTTGTCGTAGTCAGCGGGGTTCGCGAACGTTAACGGCAATAGACCCTGTTTCTTTAAGTTGGTCTCGTGAATCCTGTAATGATGTGAAAATGTATTATAATATACATATTTATTCATACGCCAAGGAAAGTAAATAGATAACAGGGTAGTGAGAGTGTTTATTCATAACTTGCTTTAACCATTGTCATAAAGTAGGTAAATTAGCTTTTTATAATAAACAGTAGAGTTCTTCGCAAATAACTTGAAAGCTTTTGTATGTAAAGTTTTTCCGTGTAAAGCTCACGATAATAGTGTTCAAGAGATAAAGTATATTTTATCTCCAACCTTTATAGTATGTGTAATTTCATAATGATGGAAAGTGGTAACCGTCGCCTATAGACATGAGCAGTATCGTGGACATAACAGAGTATACGGTTTCGCCCATGATACCCTCTATGTATTGCCATTCCTGAGGACTCAGATGTTATTCCTTTTTACCCTGTAAATTCACTGCCATATCCCACCCTTCAAACCGAAACACAGCCATGCAATCACAACCGCATAACGGTAGAAACACGAATGGTACAGAAGTACCCAAACAAACGACTTTTGTACAAAATCTCCCTCTAGTATTGTGTTAAAGTTATATAAGTGGCGATGATATGAGCGTCGTGTTACCTGGCGAATGACTTGACGATGATGGCGCGGCCACCAAGGTGGCGGGGCTCGAGCGCGGCATGCTCGCGAGATGACCCCTCGCCGTAGTTCTCGTCTCCGATGACGACCCAGGGAGTGCCGGCCGCTTTGTACGCGCGTGCCGTCGCGGGTACCGGTCCCCACTCGCCCGTCAGCTGGTTGCGCACTTTGTTTAGCTCGCCGTTTTCAGCGTTTGTGGCGCTGTAAGATAGGTATGTGGCATAGATATAGAAGATATATTAACACTATCAAATATGTTGGTTATAGTTGGATCATGAGGTATATTTTACTGTCAAATGTACATTCTATTCATTACATGATCATATGTTTTTTTTTTTCTAGTAATTCATACTATTTTATAAGGTTTTTTTTATTTCTTGTTGGTAGCAACTCTGTCCATTTTTTTTATTATAATCTAATTAATTGCACTTGCAAAATTTTTAATGTTATAAGTAAATATCTACTTGTTTAATTTGATATTAATTAAATGTACAATTTAAATATATTTGTAACTATAAAACATACATATGATCGACAATATGATCATAAATATATTTCCTTTAAAAAGGCAGCAAATTAATCCATTGCTAGAATCGCTATTGCTACAGTTTTCATGAAATAAAATGAGATAGCATTCAGCGTCTAATTATTTCTTATACTAACACTAGCTGACCCAGCAAACGTTGTTTTGCCATATACATTATTTGGAGAATATTTTTTTAGTCCATTAAAAAACAAATATTGGGGTGGGTCACCCTTATCATTGAGTGGTATGAAAAATATATGTTGGCCGATTCTCAGACCTACCCAATATGCACACAAAATTTTATAAAAATCGGTAAAGCCGTGTCGGAGGAGTTTGATAACAAACACCGTGACACGAGAATTTTATATATAAGATTATCCAAAATGTATCTTTTTAAAATACATATACACAGAAAACAGTGTGTTTTGTAGGTGAGTGTAAGGTCATCAAAATAAACGAAACTTACGTGATGAACATGTTGTTGGAGATGTTGTCGAGATGTCCACGGTACTTGAGCCAGGGTCCGGCGGCGGAGATGTGATCGGTGGTACACTTGCCCTTGACCTTGATGAGGATGGTGAGGTCGGTGAGGTCCTTGCCGTTCCACTTGTCGAAGGGTGCGAGCAGTTGCAGCCGATCAGAGGTGGGGGAGACGTCCACTGTCACCTCTAGTAATTGGAGATAGGAAATATGTTTAATTAATTTAATTATAAAAAGTACTTTATAAAAAAAATATTTAATAAATTGAAAAAGTTTTATGTTAATTGTTTATGTATTATTTTCTAATATTATTAATTTTGTCTTGTTTTTAAATAGTCGTTTAAAAATATTACTAATTATTTTGATTATCTGTATTTCAGTACTATTTATTTATTTATTTAACTCTTTATTGCACCATAAATAAAAATATACAATGACAAGTGAATAACTCAAATATAGTGAAATACAGTAACATAAATACAGATTGAAATATACACATAAAGGTACAAAAGACGGTCTTATCGCTAGGGCAATCTCTTACAGACAACCTTTATACCTGTATTTCACATATAAATTAGCTAAATTGATTATAATGAAATTTTCAGATCCACTGAACTATAAATTTATATATTGGCTAATATAAATGGCTATAAAGTTTAAAAAAATCTTTCCAAAATAGTTTATTAAATAAAAATAAAATAATGAATTGGCATCAGTAAGACCGTCTTTATGGACTGGTCAATAATTTGTTTGTTTACATTTTAATACAGTTCTATTGAAACATACGGGCTATGGTCACACAAATAATACTAACTGGAGCCGTCTGCGGGCGGGTGTTCGTATGTGTCCTGGCCGGGGTCGAATCCCTTGGCGGGCAACTCGTCGGCGAACGGGTCTGACAACTTGAATTTCTTGCCGTCAGAGCCCGTCAGCTCGTCCGTTACCGGGTTGAAGTCCAGCCGACCTGCAATGCGAATTCTAGTAAGTCCAATGTAATACTCAACTGGGTATAAAAAGAAAGTTGGTTTAACAAAGTTCTTTTTTCTCATATACCAAAATTCGTAATTGTGTTCTAATGCTTTGAAAAAAGGTTATCAATTCTAAAATATTGATTTTAAAACGTTAATTTCCATTATACTAACTCTTTTATGTTACTTACAAACAGAAGCAAACACAGTATTGAGTGATCTTGTGTAGACCTAGCTCCATAGTATGATCTAGGTATTCAGCCATTTCGAGCAAAAAATAGTTTATTTCAAGGAAACTTAATGATTCTCATTTCTATTAAAACAATATATATATGCTATTCTTTATATGTAGTTACTATGTCAACTCATATTGCCACTTGAATCATTCGCCCGACATGAGGGCGATGGATAAATTAAAATATTAGTAATGTTTCGAGAACTCACCAGCCAGAGACAGAGCGGTGACAAGCTCGGGGCTGGTGACGAAGCAGTGCGTGGCGGGGTTGGCGTCATTACGACCGGTGAAGTTCCTGTTGTATGACGTTACGATGGTGTTCTTCTCGCCCTTCTTCACGTCCTTGCGGTCCCATTGGCCGATGCAGGGGCCGCACGCGTTAGCCAACACCTAGACAGTGAAATGTCGAGGATAAAGTATTTTATATACGTGGAAATTGTCTATGAATATTACTGGCCATTAACACGTTCTTTTATGTGGAAAAATAAATATTGTGACTTTTCATATATTGAAATTAGTAGAGCGATTTCAATTAGGATGAAAACGAAATAATATAAAAAAGTTGTCAATATTGTATACTTACGTGAAAATTATCAAGAAATATTACAGGCCATTAACATGTTTTTATTTTTATGTAGAAAAAAATATATTGCGACTGGGTCATAGATAACTTTAAACATGGAAGATTCTTTCAAATTTTTAAATTAGAGAGACAATTTAAATTGGTTTCAAATCGAAAATGCACAAAAAGTCGTCAAATATAAGGTAACACCCACTTGGCGTGTTCAAAATTAACCTTTTTACATATATTATAGTTTTTTATAAAAAAGAAAATTGATAAACAATTGATATAGAACAAAAAATACATACAATACTTCAAGTGAACAGACGACAATTTTATTTTACAACATTAGTTGTAAAATAAAATAATAATTATTAATAATATATACAAAACAAGAACCAGCACATTTTACAAACATGGCGTAAATTCGATGGATTTCTTATTGGATCTTAATTACACTCCTCGCAAAAATTAAGGGAACATAAAATTTTTTGAAATTTTTGGGTGATTTTCAACAGGCTGTATTTCAGTGAAAAATAATCGTACAGGAAATTTAAAAAAAGGGTTTTGAAGCTTGAAAACTCTAGTTTTCAGATTTTTTAGTGAAAAAAATTTAGAAAAAAATTATTTTCAGCTTTGTTTAAGAATTGCATGGAAACCGGAGCTCAAAAAATTTTTTCACCAAAAAATCTGAAAACTAGAGTTTTCAAGCTTCAAAACCCTTTTTTTAAATTTCCTGTACGATTATTTTTAACTGAAATACAGCCTGTTGAAAATCACCCAAAAATTTCAAAAATTTTTATGTTCCCTTAATTTTTGCGAGGAGTGTATTACGTCAAGTCATCTCGCAATATTAATTTTAATTTAAAGTCATTATTTCCTTTTATAACTGCACTTGTAACTTAAATGTATTTAAACTGATATTCATTATTTTAAATAATCCATTATTATTTAAAATTAAATTGCCTAGAATAAGTAAATTTGTAATTTTAGCATTAAAACACCCTATTTATTATATGTGTAACATCCTCAATAAAAAGTTAATGGATTTTAAAGCTAATTTATGGAATAAATGGACATAAATGACAAACAGTAGACTTACAGTGCCTCCGAAGTCGCGCAGTGTCTGCGCAATGCCGTCTCTTTCGATGGTGGCGCGTACTTGTTCAGAGCCGGGTGTCACGTTGAATGGAATTTTGGATTTCACGCCATGTTGCAGTGCCTGGAAGCGTTATAATTTTATTACATGAACAAATTAATCAGTCATCGACTATTCCTTAAGAATCTAGAGAAAAACATTCTAATTGATCATCTTTCTTGATTGACAATTGCCATGTATATTATTTCATCTCCACAATAAAGAGGAAATTATACTAATAGTTAATATATCGATTGAATTTCCATCAATTGAACTTCAATCGAAATTGTCAATAATGAACATTGACAATTGGGATCAAATTAAAAGGCGCCATTTCTCTAAATATAAAATTTTTATTTGTGGTAATCTCATCATTTGTATATTTATTAAACATTTCCGAACGCAATATCCTTCTACCCTCCTTACCTATCCATATTCCCTATCAAATCTGGGATCACATTGGGGGGTAGATGGACAAAATCAGTCTATAATCCAACTGCGCGTCGAGGTGGTCAAGTTCCGCCAAGATCACGAAAATTCTCCGCCAGTTGCGAATTATTCTATCAGCCGCGATCTCCGCGCAACATACAGTGATACTTAAGCAAATCAACAAAAGTATTAAAAAAATGTATTTATTGGAACCATAAAAAATTACAACTGTAGGGTAGTGTACGATAACAGCCACATTAGTTAAAAATAACTGTGTCGTGGCTGTCAACGCCCACCTCCTCAAGGCAGAGGCGCTAGCGTTCCAGTAGAATAAATAAAATTGTTAATTAAACAAGAAAAAGCATGTACCTACATGTAGCACATATATATGTGCCCAACATACATATAAATATTTAGACATTAAGTTTTACATTTTATTATTATGTTATTATATTATATTAGTTTAGTTATATAGCATGCAAAGAAACTAGTATAAGTTATATAGTATTTGGAAGTAAGTGTGTGTGCGTGTGTAAGTGTTGGATAATTTGAAGATTGAACAAGAACGCGTACAAAGGTCCTACACGCGGGGACTACGTGAACCAGGTTCGTTCTTTACCCTTCTTTTTATCCACCAATTTGATATCTCAGTGGAATCTTTATTGCTATAGTTTTGTTTAGTTAGTATTGTTATAGTTAATATATCAGGCAGTGAATAGTTATTTGGTATAGACTAAAGAGAAGTCGCGGTATACAGCTAGTAACCCGTGGTCGTATTGCTGTATCGAATAGCTTCTTCCTCAATTAATGAACTAACAAATGGAAAAAGAGTTTTACAAATTCGACTAGTAGTTTAAAAAATTAACGCGTTAAAATAAATTAACATTTCCGCCTTTTTGTACTAGTACAAATATACTCGATCGTTAATAAATCGCTTAACAAAGTACAATTTTAACCTTGAGTTAAAATTAACTTCTAATTAAGTTCCTAATCTAATCTAATTCTGAGAAGAGGCTAAATAAACAATTTTATTTTATTTCGACAACATGTTAAAAAAAATGTAATTATCTTTATTTGTGTAAACAATAGTCATATACTTTAAAAAAAAAAAAAAAAAAAACTATAAAAGTGATTATTTGTAACGAATGTGGCAGAAGTGAACAAACTGCTGTATCTCTTAATTTCTTTCATTAACTGTACCTTCCATTGTATTAGTTTTTTTATGCAACTTAGAATGGCAAACAAGATGACGGCCCACCTGATGGAAAATGGTAACCGTCGCCTATAGACATGAGCAGTACCATGGACATAACAGAGTATACTGTTTCGCCCATGATACCCTCCATGCGTTGCCATTCCTGAGGACTCAGATGTTATTCCTCTGTACCCTGTAAATTCACTGCCATATCCCACCCTTCAAAGCGAAACACAGCCATGCAAACATAACTGCTTCACGGTAAAACACTATTGAGACAGAGGTACCTAAGTAAACTACTTTTGTGCCAACTCTCCCTCTGGTAAGTATATTGACAATAAAAATTTGAACGGAACCCTTTATGTTCGGTTACAAGTCAGAATTGGCGACATTTTTTATCGTACGTCATAAGCAACGTTTTATTGCCGCGCTTGTTTATACATAGATAACTTTAACGGATCTACAGCTCTCGTTAACAAATTATGTCACTGATATCAATTTTATATTCCCATATTATAGATCTACTTAACAATCTTTATATTAATTAAAACTATAACTAAATATATGACGTAATAGGTGTATGCATATTATATCACATACCCAAAGTCCATTCTAGAAATTCAGGCTAGTTTTTATCTAATTTTAACCAAATCGTATTATTAGGGGGGGTAAGGAATTGTTTGTGATGCGGTCTATGAATCCCATTGCTAGCAATACACTATTCTTATCAGGCGGACTTCCATGTGGTCCCCCTTGTAGTGGTACGCAAACGAGTTGAGTAAACACTTATTCATTGAAAAAATAAATAGAACAATTTGTTACCGGCCAGTATTTAACAAATTATTAGTGGCCAGTACGTGAACATGATATTGCTACGCCCCTGGAAACCATTGTGCTGATTTCCTGGTGTATTCATCACGATGGGCTAACTGACCTGCTTTTTCATCTCACCTATCATCATCCACTGGCCCGCGTATACCATTAGCGCAGGGGGTTGCCATTCCATTGTCAACCATTAAAAAAATTGATTATTGACTGCTGTATGGTCCTGGCATGGAATGGGGCACCCTTCCTTTCCCATAGGTGTCGTAAGAGACGACTAAGAGGATTTAAAGGTCAAGAGATGAGCAGCAGCATTCCTCTTGAAACACCATCAAACCTAACTGTAGTTGCCAACCCGCCTGCTAAACGTGGCAACTACTGGCAAAATCTCCTAATAGAAAGAGGCCTATTTTTAGCAGTAGATAACGGTTAATATGAATGAAGAAAATGTATTATTAATGAGAGAGGTTTTGACGTATACAAGTTGTACGTAACACAAGTAGTAGCAATAACGGACTAACCTCCTTGACGATGCTGGCGCACCGGCCCATGTCTTCGTATGAGGAGTTTGTGCAGGAACCGATGAGACCAACACGGATGTCGAGCGGCCAGCCGGCCTTCTTGGCCTCCTCGCCGAGTTTCGAAATGGGATTCGCCAGATCCGGTGTGAAGGGACCGTTGACGTGGGGCTCCAGTGTCGACAGGTCAATCTCGATCAACTGTAATGTTACAAAAACAGTTATTTTTAATAAAAGTCTAAGGCTGTAAATACACTAAGCATAGACTATAGACTAGTTTTTTTTTTAATATTTATGCGGGATAAAGGAAGTAACCTATACAGCTGATGTATAAAAATGTATATTGATAAAGTAATCTCAATTTTACTGATATAATAAAATTGTAAATGGTTGAAGTACATGTAATAAATTAAAAAAAAAAAAAACATGAAATGACTATTATAACAGGAGTACTATTATAACGCCAAAGGAATATTTTTTAGATTTTTTTTCTGTCTGTCGTTTGTTTCAGCATCACGCAAAAACTACTAAACCAAATTTAATGCGATTTTCATAGTTGTGTTCCTATCTATCCCATTTGAAGATATTTTTAGGTCAATTATTATTTTGTCTAGATTTTCACTATTTTAAATAAAACCAACATTCACTAATTGAATGTTAAAATTTATTTAAAAACATTTCCAGATTTTATTTTCATTCATTTTATCCATATATATATATAAAAGCAAATTGCAAGTAGGTTAGTAAATAAAAAAAAAATACTATTGTCATACTAGATCCCTTATAGGAGAAAAGAGTTCCTAAGGCTTTTATTCTTACATACATACATTCATTGAACGAACGAAAACTCTTTATTAATCCCTTCAAAGATTAAATTTATTCGAGAAATTCTTAACTTATCAATGTCGAAATATTCTTGTTCTAAATTTAAATTCATCGTTCATATGTAATACGAAGTTGTGTCTTATTACCTCGTCATAAGGTGCTTTTGGGTCCGGTGTGAGCAGATGTTTGTAGCCGTTCGCGCTGGATGCGACATTCTCGCGGCCAGTCGACTTCAAGTACGCTTCCATACGCGAGTTGTAGGGGAACACCTGTGTACACATTTTAAACAATTTAAAATAATCACCTTTATTTTATATTTAAATGTCTTTGTGTTTATCTTAATATTATATTTATATATAACATTTTCCATATTTTCCACATTTTCCACATTTGTAGTTTCACTACTGTATCCCACTTATCACTGCAGTTTGCAGAATAGAGATACAAACAGACGACTTTTATAAAGTTTATCTTTGAAAGCTCCATATGCATACATTTCAATATATTACTATGACTATAATAATTAAATTGTGTTCCACAAAGAAATCCAATTTTATTGTGACAAAATCAATTATTTACTATTGTATCGATTATGATACAATTTCTGTGAGGACTAATATTTAAGCACATCCTTTCAGATAAAAAAAAAAAACAATCAAATCGGTTTACAACTGACGGAGTTATGAGGTAATAGCCAATAAAAAAAACATAACCGAACTGAGAACCTTTTTTTTTAAATTGGTTGAAATAAATACTAACGCTGGTGGTAGCTCCGATCTCAGCGCCCATGTTGCAAATGGTAGCCATTCCTGTGCAGGATATGGAGTCGACACCGGGTCCGTGGTACTCCACGATGGCGCCGGTGCCACCCTTCACGGTGAGGATGCCGGCCACCTTGAGGATCACGTCCTTGGGACTCGTCCAGCCCTTAAGTTGACCTGGTGAAGATAGAGAGGTGTGTTAAACTGGTAGAATACTCCGAGATGACTAATACGAGAGAAAGGTAGTGCTAATGAGGACTAGCGGCTATACTGCTAACAGTAGACCCTGTCAGGTCGACTTCCACATGGTTCCCACTGGAAACCAACGTTGTTAAATTCTGGTGAATTTACTGACGTAACTTCAATATATCATCCCTACCTAGAAAGAATGGTTGACCATCATGCATCCCAATTTTCACATTTATATTATAATTTTCTGTTATAGAAGTAGGAAGTTACATTTCTGTTTAGATTTTTTAATTTAATCTTTGCTACAGGCATAGTAGGAAACCAAGTTTTAGGCGTTGTCGATTTCTGTGATTGATCTTAATTTTTACTTTCAGGTTTTTTTTTTTTATGTAACTTAGAATGGCAAACAAGCTGACGTTCCATCTAATGAAAAGTAGTAAACATCGCCAATAGACCGCCCATGATACCCCCATGCGTTGCTAATCCTGAGAACTCAGGTGTTATTCCTCTGTACCAAATAAATTTACTGCCATATCCCACCCTTCAAACCGAAACACAGCCATGCAAGCACAACTGCTTCACGGTTGAAACACGAAAGGGATAGAAATACCAAAGCAAAGGGCTTTTGTACAAAGTCTCCCTTTGGTAGACTTGTTTTTAGATGTTTACGATTGAAAAATATTTTTGTGGTCTACCTTTTGTCATTAATTGAAGGTTAATTAAATAATTAATGGAACATTTTCTTATCATGGATTTTACCCATGTAATACAGTTATCGATGTTGATAAGTTGTTTATTTGGAATGCATACGTAGTTATTAAGCATGATTTATTGGTTTATATAATTAGTCAGTTCTGAATCATATTTTTGTTAGATAATAAAAAAAAGTATTTCGGGTTTTTCTTCTTGTACATTATGTTAATTAACGAAGTCCATTTCTTAAAACAAATGTTAGTATTCATTAATAGGGGTTTTAAATATTTTTTCGATTTTGACGTTTTATACTTAATACAAAAACTCTATTATATATATAATATAATATAATATATAGATATGATCGAAGTTAATCCAATTAGATTTTATATTTTGTGAATCCTGGATATTCCCAATACTATAATTTTACTAGTATTTTTATATACTGTAGAGGCAATGACCCCGATCTTTTGTCTGGCCTTTAAACCAGAATAGCTCGTGTTATGAAAACAAAAACATCTAAAAATTCGGATACAGAAATCAGGATAACAAGAGTTAAATATATATAATAAAATGTTTTACATACTACTAGTGACCAGCCCCGGTTTCACTCTTCAACAGCTAGTTATCGGTATAAAAACTATCTTATATCTTAAGTTGACACAAACAATATACATTTATAAATTTACATAAAAAATCGGTTAAGCAGTCTCGGAGTTTAGTGCGAATGAACATTGTCATACGGAACTTTTATATGTTAGATATTTTATAATATATAAAAAAAAACCTATATACATATAAGACTAGCGGTGTCACCACCACTAGTCACACAACTAATGGAGATGGCTTGGTCACATACACAGGTGAATAACAACATACAAATCGCATAATATTCAGGGTTTGCTGGAAGAGAACTCTTACAGAGTTAAGCTCGCCTGTTGTACATCTTTATTTTATATATATTATATGTTGTAATTTTTTGTGGACAATAAAGAATAAATAAATAAAATAATATACTGTTACACCCCTCATGCCCTTACTAGCTTGAACCATTTCATGTGGGCTTCCTATAAATTAATTTTGTACGGATTCCAATTGTTGGGGGATTCGGAGAACTGTTGTTTCCATAGATTTTGGTCACTGCGACAAACATGGCGATAAACATATTTTCGTATTTTATCTTTTGTTTTATAGTAAAAAAAGTGTAATAAATTTGATTGTATGAACTCATTTGTTAATTTACGCGTGTCGTAAATGGTTCAAATAAAGTGTTTATCTATCTATCTATCTTTTTGGTATTATTGATGAATTACAAAGAGTTTGGGCTGTCGATGAATATACAAAACTAAATATGATACTATTTACATTTGACTGTGGTTTTTTGGGTGTGTTTATGTAGTACTGAAAATAAAGTCACAAAATATGGCGAAAAATTACGAACTACGAATGGACACGGGGCTACTTCTAGTATAGAAGGTTCACTGCAGCGGCCAGACTTTGTGGTATAGTATCATCAGCATGTTAGCCTTTTTTTCTTCTTCTTTTTTTTTTGATTGAAAATGGTATGGTAACCCCGCCTGCGCTAACGCTGGGATACGTTGGCGGAGCACCAGTGAAGGGTGATAGATGAGAATGAAAACAGGCCAGTAAGCCCATCATGATGAATTCATCAGGAATTAACCATGATAGTTTCCAGGAGGAACAGCGAGGAGGTCGACTTGGTTGGGTATATTGCTAGCAATGGGATTCTCAGTCTCAATTACTAACAATCCCTTTCCCCCATTATATTAGCCTTTAACTGTCCACTGCTGAACATAAGACTCCCCCTTGAGGTGGTTTTACCGCAGCTGATAGGCTTTGAAGATGTTTTAAGATGGACGCTGCTGCCCATCCCTAGTTCTCTCTTAGTCGCTTCTTACGACACCCACGGAAAAGGTAAGGGTGGCTTATTCTATGCTGTAACCACACGGCGGCATAGTATAAATCAATAGAGATCATTTTAATATTTTATAATGTAGTGACAATAATCGAAAAGGGAATGTTGCGTTGGTTTAGCCACTTGAAGAGGATGGATCAAAGAATTACGAAAGAGATTTATAGAGCAAGAATGAATGGAGACGTTGGTAGGGATAGCCCTAGAAGGACATATGTCGACCAAATAGGTAACATGTTGTAAAAGGGCGAAATTTAAAGTACCCGTAACCGGAGAGCGTGTATGAAAAGATTGATGAATGTGGAGGAAGCGAAAGAAGCTTGTTTGAATCGAAGCATTTGGCGTTTCATTGTTTCTGCCGACTCCAATGGGACACAGGCGTGACAGATTCATATGTAAACGTAATATTTTATAAAGATGAATTATATAAATACAGTAAATGAAATTGACTGCCCTCATACAGAAAATGAGTTGATTTTTATCTGGCATTGACCGCGATATAGTTTTGTTGACGTTGGCAATGGTAAACAACGTGAGAGATCAGCAGATGGCATGTGTCAACTGTTAACGAAAACAAAAAAATACAACCGATGTACATAAAATACAAAAATTTTTAATGTGACTTTTTTGGGGAAATAGTTTTTTTATGATATGGTAAATCCGCCTGCACTATCTGTGTACACTGGAGTGGTCACAGTGAAGGATAGGTGAGCAATGAAGTTACATCGTGTACATCGTGATGGATTCAGTACGCTAGTTTCTAAGAGGACCGCTTGGAAGTCGACTTGAGAGATTATACTCATTAAGAACTGGCATCCTCCATCACTGATAATATCATATATCGTAAAATATTTATAAAATGATAAAAACTACCATCATCATCATTATAACTATGGGTTGCCGGGGGGAAAGGGATTGGTAGCAATGGAGTTTGACAGCCCCATTGTTAGCAATTTGCCCTATTAGATCGACCTCCACGTGGTTCCCCCTGGAAACCATCGTGAACAATTCTTGTTGAATTCGTCACGATGGGCTAACTGAGCTATTTCACCCTCACCTATCATCCTTCACTGGTGTCCCGCCGGTGTATACCGTTAGCGCGGGTGGGGTTACCGTTCCATTATCACCCATTAAAAAAAACTATGGGCTGCCAATTGCCAAGTTTGGAAGATGAGTCGGCAAACGCTATCATGCTTTGATGATTTAAGAGGGAGTCTGCTGCCCATTCCTCGACCTTTAAGTTTCCTTAGTCGCTTTTTACAACAGTAACGGAAAAGGAAGGGGTGAACCATTCTACGCCTCGGCCATTATTTTTCCAAATATTTGGTATTAAATCGAACATACAAGTAGATTTGATGCTATCAATTTTCTTTGTAAAAATATACTTATAGATACCCTTGATACTTATTTACCTGGAAACGTTGGTCTTATCGAGAAATTGTCTATTGACGTAGTGTTGTTATATAACGAAATAAAATTTACACGTAGAATGATAACGATGTTACTAAAAAGTATAATAAAATAACTTGCTATTTTCTCGAATTTATGATTGTATATATATATATATATATATATATATATATATATATATATATATATATACATACACACACACACATAAACCCAGTCCAATACAAACATACTTATGATTGCAAATGTTTGTATTGTGCGGGAATCGAACCCGAGACCATCGGAAAATAAATCGGCATGTATGTTAAACCGCTAGACCATCAAGAAAAGTGAATTTTTTTTAAACGATCCACATTTTTTTAATAGATAATAATGGAATGGTAACTCCGCCCGCGCTCACGGTATCACAGATGAGGCACCAGTGAGGGATGACAAATGAGGATGAAAAGGCAGGTCAGTTAGCCCATCGTGATAAATACACCTGAAATTCAGCACAGTGGTTTTCAAGGGGGGATCATGTGGAGGTCGAGCTGATATGGTATTATAGCAAGGGCTTGATAGTCCGCACTACTAATACTCTCCCCCACCCCCCGCTCCACGATCCAGATTTATATAAAAATGACAAATTATGAAGTATTTACCATCGATGATGTGCATCATATTCTATTAGAGTGTCGTATTAACACGAAGGAAAGAGAAGAATTCATGCGCCACTTTAACTTAAATAAATTGAATGTTGGTCTTATTCAAACTATGTTAGCTGAACTTAAACCAGAAATTTTTGAACATCTCTGTAAATTATTGATGCCCATTAATTCTTCTCTTTCCGCGTCTAGGGAAGGTAGATAAAGTTTTGTTGGAGAAATCAGTTCAGGGTACAATAGGACTGATAAACCTGAAGAAGGTAAAAGCCCTTAAAATATTAAAAAAAAAAAAATGTAATTCGCTCTAT